TAGGGGGGGGGGGGGGGGTACTCATAGCCGTGCATGCCGTAGTCGTTAGACCATTGACCTCGCATCCCTACAAAGCCGGGACGGAGCACGCCGGGTTCTCACCGGACCAGGCTCTCACATCACCAAGCGTGAAGGGCCGTGAGGCATTCGGCGAGTCGCATGAAGGGTGCGCTGCATCCTGCTAAGGGTGTTCGGCATCTTGTGCTTACTTCCTTGCGTACGGATGACAGCTGCGTATGACTTAATTTATTTTCTGGTGCTTTCACTTCCAGATACAGTTGTAAGCACTGTGTAACTGCCTCGAGGATGCTTGACCATTTTAACACAACGTGGTGCGATCATCCCCCTTGCGCGGAGTGAGGGTTCTCGACCCCGCACAACATGATCTACTCGACCACCATTATGGTTACCGCAAAAAAAAAGACGAAAGGCAAAAAAAAAGCGTTAACCTGGTTGCCGCCAAGCGGCGAAAACCCAACCCCGCTGGCAAACACCGGGGGGGGTGAGGGGGGGGGATATCGAAAACAATGTTCTTGTCGTTGTACTCTACATCTCTGTCCCTTTTACGAGCTCCACGAATTGTATTTTCTGTTCCGGAATCCCTCGCCGACAGCAGTATGTATCCCACCGCTTCCTCTCCGATTGTAACGTTGTTCTTTCACCCGCTTCTCGCCGGTATCGTTAGTCAGTCATGGGTTCTACCGCCTCTTTTCATGTATCCACGTCCGTCGTAGGTCATCCTTCTAACCAACTAATCGGGTGAAAAAATATTTGTCGTTCCGCTCACGCTCGAAAACCAGGCGTCGTTGCGTTCCCAGCGCTATTAAAATAAAGCTTGTCATACCGACATTGTCGCGTTTTCGTTTCAATTGTTCCCGGTCAACCACGTCTCATTTCTGTTTCACATGCGCTGACCAATACCACTGCATCGCATTTTGGACCTCGTGACAAGCCGTAACCTCGGCGACAGAAAACGTCTACTCGAGTATTGCGCAACATTGTTGTACGAGCTTTCTCGCCAACGGCATCACGCTGTTATTGTTGTGCAAGCTTCTCAGTTGTAGCGCATCCAAACTTCTACAAAAAATAGCTTGTTGCCATGGTATCTTGCTGTCCTTCGGCACGCTCTCACCCTGGGCACCCCGACAAACGTCGTCGGGCGCACTTCCCTCAAGGTCTTGACCAAGGTCCCCTTCAAAGCATCGGGCTGGGCGAACCACACCGAGCTGGCAACTGCCATAGGCGCGTGCATATCCAACAGCTTTGTGTTGTTGTTGTTGTTGTTGTTGTTGGGGTAGCATTGAAGTCGCGCGGTGGTGGTGGTGGTGGTGGTGGTGGAAGTGGTAGTGATGGTGGAGGTGGGGGTGGGGGTGGGGGGTGCGAAAAGTTGTTCAATCAAACACGAACGGGCGGAGATCGCGACAACGAGCGCCGAAAGCATGGAGAATGGAGGTAAAGTGACGTCAGAGGAACAAACAACGTGGAAGAAGCGATGGAAGACATATGGCAGGCAACTCTGCCCTGGTTCTAGTTCTCACAAGAAGGCCTGTTGCTTGCTGCGAAGCACTGACGTCGGCCACGCGAGCGCATCGCTGACACATATGAGAGTATGAATTTACCACAACGGGCGTTTGCGATACCCTCTTCGCACACACTCTGCATCCGCTAGCTGTTTGTGGTGCAAGCTGCACACTTCTATTTTCCCTAAAAACTTGACGCATCATGTTCCATGCTGGCGAAAAAAGGTTTCTTTAACTGACCTGGCCGGCGACGTGGCTGAGGGGGAGGTACGAGACGCCTCTCTCCGCGTGACTCCAGTTGAACGGTGCGCAGAGCGTCTTCCAGGGAAGTGGCACGCAGACAGGAAGCGGAGGCGTGAGAACGAGGGGGGGGGGGGTAATACAAAAAGCATATAGAGTGGGGAACAAAGGGACGCGTGTCAAATGCCGGCGTAGATGAGGGGGGCGGGGGGCGTGGAGAACAAGCGACAAGAAAAACTCGAAAGACAGTGTTGGCGTTCATGCGAAGTTTGGTATTGGGAATTTCAACTCTTGACGGAACAAGAAAAAACACCGAGAAGCATCGGGGCACGATTGCAGTGATGGAAGGGGGGATATTCGTTGTTGATATGTCGCAAGGTTCGCAAGGGTCGCTACTCCTCTCGGAAGCCTACCCGTCTAATCGAGTGACATTTAGTCGTAGATTTCGTAGATGTCTCGTCATGACCAACCGACAACCATCCCGTCAAGAGAGAGCGAACCAAGCCGCTACTACCACGGCGCAGATCTTCGATGATGTGGTCACTACAGTTTCAACCACCCCTACACTTCTTTTCGCCGCGGGAGGAGAGATTGCACCCGAGAAAAACAAAACCCGCACAACTGGACACATGTATGACCACCAATTCGGGGAACCAAAAACTACGACACAAGACAATTTGTCGTCACCTCCGCAGTCCAAGTCATGTTGTCGTGGCTGATCATGACCGCCTTGGGCTGACCGGTGGTCCCGCTGGTGTAGATGAGAGAGCAGCACTGGCCCGGCCTCTGCGCCTCGATGCGCTCCTCGATCTTAGTGTCTGGGATCTTACTCCCGAGCTGATGGGAGACAAAATCATTGCGTAACACAAGGGACAAGGTTCGATCAACAAAGTCGCACTGATTTGCATAAGCGGACGACTGAGAAGAAATTGGGTGACACCCAGCAGAGGGTTTTCAAGGCAGGCGCTGCACTCGCGGGGAAAGGACTGGGGCGCCGGTGGTGTGCGCTGGCCACGGATTTCGATTATGTTGCTTCTTGTTTTCGATAACTCCTGGGCACCTTAGGGAGGATCAGTAGTCCGAGACAACTTAACAGTTTGGCCCTATAGCTGGTGGGGCTAGGAAGGAGATACATTTCTTATACATAGTAGCAGAGACAACAAAGAAACGATACCACAAAGGGCTTGCGTCGCGCGGCAAACGTGTGTCGTACGGGTGAATATCTCTACATAGACCACAGAAAGTATGTCTCAAGCCGGTTCGAAAAATAAACACGAATCAATCAAAGTGGTTGACCCCACGAGCCGAGCAAAGTGTCGAAACACACGCAGAATCACACACAGCACCCGCCCCCCCCCCCCTCCCCTCTCTGTCGAGGCACCAACCGAACGAGAAAACGTTTTTCGCGCTTTTTTATTTTTTGTTCCCGAAGACCGACTTATATCTTCGTATTAGTTCATCCGGTGAACACAATCGGTGTCATACTATTAGCTCGCAAACTCACACGCACAGGAAGGTGTATCAAGAACCGTCGTATTTTTTATGTAGCAACGAGGGGTCAGTGTGGCGAGAACAACACCGCCTCTAAGGCCTTATTAGTGCAAGCACGATGTTTCGACCAAGGCTCAAAGAACAACGGAGATGAAGAAAGCGCGGTCAACATGAAGGGAAGGCCGGTGGTCACTCAAAAGTGAGCAAGAACTACGGCAAACCCCAAGCCGTCATCATTGCTTGAGGGGGAAGGCCCCATTGGTAATGCAGGCACCGCTGTAGTAGTTGTTGTTGTTGTTGCTGCTGCTGCTGCTGCTGCAGTTGCTCAGGGTGGTTACTGCTACTTCCCGGGAGAGTGGTTATGCCCAGGCCAATGCTAACAGTCGCTCTAGTCTTCCTCCCGAAAGGAAAGGGGGTGGGGGGGGGTGGGGAACCAGGTAAGGTTTGCGATAAAAGTACGGCGGTATGCTGTCACGTACGGGGTACCAACCTCCATGAACTGTTTCCACGTGTACACGGGGAAGCCGCACTCCGTCTCCTCCGGCACGTTGCCCCTGTACATGACGATGGCCTTCACCGAGGTGAGGGTGGCCGCCAGCTTGACGAACTTGGCGAGCTGTGCCTCGTTCTCGACCACCACTACCTCCGCCTCGGAGTGGTTGGTGATGTACTGGCAAGCCTGTACCACCGGTTGGTTCGATTTGGTGTATGTACACAATCGAAGTTTAGTGCATCGCCATGAAAGAAGGGGGGTAAACGTTTGTGTTCCGTGAAAGCATGCTTCCGTCTCGGAGTGGTTCGTGATGTACTGGCAAGCCTCTAACATTGGGTTAGTTCGGTTTGATAGGTTTATGTGCATTCTGCCATGCATCAACAATGTAAGAAGGGTGTCAACATCTGATGTCGCCGTAAAAGAACGCCTTCGCATCAGAGCGGTTCGCAAAAAGTTGGATTTGATGTTGCTTTCGTTCTATGGGAGAAGATACCGTCCTGGAACGCCTGGCGTAATGGATGGAGCGAGGAATACCCGCAGAAAAACGATCGTACGTGCAATACGAGGATGCCACCATGGCCAGTCGGTCGCTACGTAATCATCATCAACAACAACAACAACAAGGCGACAATTATGACCTTCTCGACAGCAATACCACAAGCGCTCTCGAGGACTCGGAACACCGCATCCGCGTGGGCCCCCCGGTGTGCCAGGCTCCCCAAAGCAACACGAAACCCTCAGGAGAGTACAACAGTGCTTCATACAAAGGAGGGACTGGGCCTTCGACGCTCAACCTCTAGACTTTTGGACGTACGCATGCTGCCCCCCCCCCAAAAAAATAAATAAATAAGAGTTGACAGCTGTACGTGTCTAGGATTAGGGTTAAGGTTAGAGTCAGAGGTAGCGCTTCCAACGCAATGCTCACCTCCGGGAGGTTGGAGGTGTAGATGCCAGCAGCGATCCCTCCAGCGGCAATGGCTCCCATGTTGGCGATGAACCACTCGGTCGAGTTGAAGCCGATGATGTTAACGCACCGGTGCGGAGCGAAATCGAGTGATAGCAGGCTCTTGCCGAACCTGCCGCAGAAACATAAAAAGAAGAAAATCAGCACTTGCGGTTCTCTACCACGACAGTATCGCCAGAATGAATCGATTTTTTCGCTACCTTGAAGAGTTTCACCGACTAGACGGTACAACAGACCTGACTAGTCTAGAAAATGCGTCGAATTGCGATTACAAGAATGACTTGTCTGCACCCGTCAACGATGAATCAACTGTTGTTTCGCTAATCTGCTTTCAGGAGTACACGGACAAGCAACCCTGTGCTGCTGAGGTAACTTTTGGCATTTTTTTTATGCGCGGTTGCGCAGATGCGAAACTAAGAACAGCACGTTGTGTCAACGCGAACGCAACACACCGAAAACTACAACAACATCAACAAGCAGACATCACCAACAATCAACACCAACGACGACACGGCCAAATGTCCACCCTGTGCGCCGTTGCCCCCACCTGAGCGTCTCCATGTAGTACTGCGCCCAGGTTAGCGTCTGCCACGGGGCATCGTCCGCAGACATGCCCTATAGGTGTTGAAACAAGGGAACAGGGAAGAAGACAGACGCACACTAAATGGTCAGCCGTAGCATGCACATACCACGCAAAGAAACATACCGAGACAGAAAAAACTCACACTCTTGCCGCGTAGGGGGGAACAAGCAGAGTGACGGGGGACAACCAGGCCACAGATGATTGTGTGAAAAAACTCCACCAATCGGCTTCCTTCTTCGAGGACCGACATCCAAAATAATATCGGCGCGCCAAGACGGTCAGACATGCGAGAGGATGGAGGATATGCATTCATTGCTAGTATATCCTGGCTTCGTTTGTCTGTGGATAGATTTGATTCTTTTTTAGAAACAACATACGGTACCAAACAAAAACAAAACAATGCCTGCTCCGTTATCGTTATTTTCTCTCAACAACAACAGCAACTAATACACTCACCCCCGAGGTGTCCTTGAACATGAGGGCGGGGTTCTCCCCATGGTTCTCCACCGCCTTCTGGAACACCTCGAAAACCGTCTTCGCTGGCCTGGCCGCGGCCCCCGCCGTCCCTATCTTCACCGGAAGGTCGGCGTCTCGCTCGGTTGCCCAAACACTTTGCAACGACAACAGCACAGCACGTTGTTCGAACGGCACACAAAACAGCAACATGAGACGAGGAGGTCATTACGGAGCCGTACTGACATGTTGCTTCTGCATGCACACCGCCAACGCAAGAGCTTCATGTGTGACCTGCCACCGAACTAAAGTGGACGACTTGTTGAGTACCTTCCCCCTTTTGCACGTTACAAATATCAGCCTGTTCGGAGCCGACGTTGTTTTTTTTTATGTACGCAGGACTACTTTTTTTCTTAAAAAATCAACACGAATGTACATCTACTATCCACGGGTTTTGAGTTTTGAACCTTGTTCAAAGCACGATCTCACGCGACTATCTCGGCTACGTATGTTACTTTTTCGAAATCGGCAATTTTCGGGGATTAGACTTCCCGACAGCAGTCGCCCCTGAGAGCCGCGAATTGCGACCCTCGCAAAAATACTTTCGGCCGGGAGCCTTTGTTATGCTCCATGTATCTGGAATTTCTGGATCTCTGGATGTTTTATTGTGTGTCGTGGCAGTGGCCCCCACAACTTCGTCATACCACCCGGGCTTACTACTTCATTTCCCGGGTTCCTTCCTAATACACGCCCCACATACCTTTACTACGTAGACCTCGGCAGGTGTCACACCTTAACTTGCTACCCCCCACTGTACGCGCCACAAACGCTAGATTTCCTTCGTTCAATCCTACACTTCCCAGAGTTTACCGAACGCCACGCGACGCAAAAAAAGAGGAAGGTATAAACCGTCATTTGACAGCATCAGTATGTACTTCCTCGGTCGATTTTTGGTTTTTGTCCAAAGAGGAACACTACATTTTCGAACATGCTGTAATTACCCGCAGTCTTGGTGAGGTCGCTTCGTGCCCACACGTGTACCGTAACTCGACAGCTGTTAATAACGTGGACGAACCCAATTCCCAGAAACCCATTGGTTCCTAGAACATGTCGGCTGTGCGTGCTTCTTTCTGTTCGAGCTCTTCAGCTGCTTGCACGCACTTACTTGCTGTTCCCGCCTGGCTTGTCGCACTTCGCGGTTATATAGTCGAAGGCGGCCAATTTACTGTTGAAGAAGTTCGACCGAAAGCGGAAACAAAATGCTGGTGATTCAGACCCTCACATAACTTTTTTCGAAAGAGGGCCGCTGATAGAGATCTCCACAGAGCTTGCGAACGCCAGCAGGCGATGCAAAAAAAAAAAAAGTGAAAGATATCGCCATATATCAGCAGCATCGTAATTAGCCGTCTTTGCCTCATTTAGCCGCAGAGTGCCTAAAAAAGAAGCGGAACAGCAAGCGCGTGCAAACACGACGAGCGCTCCAACAGAAAGAAAAACATTACAGCCGACACATGCTAGGAACCAGTGGGTAGCCTGGGGAGAGGGTTCCTTGTTTGTAGCTGTGTCGTATGTACTTGACCATTTGCCTGTGCCTGATGGGTGCAAAACAGCATCATATGCAAGAGTAAAAGATTGCGGGTAAATATGCGTTCATGCACGGGTATTTAAAAAAAATGCGCTAAATCATAAAATGAGCGCGAAAAGAGCAGCAAGACAAAGGCTAGACGGTGCACTGATGCTTGCGCCCCTGCTCGTTTTCAACAACCGACTTGCCTATGCAAACACAGCTTACAGAGTCTACACGTAAAGGCACGGAGAGCGCCAACGTAGGCACCGGATATGCGGCGGGCCCTCTTGGAGCGAGCGGAACATACTTTTACAGCAGGACGCTTACAGCTACACCAGTATCTGTACATCAGCGTGCGACAACACGCCACATGTTCGACTCAATCAACTCACGTTCCAGACATGATCCCCAAGTACGTTCGTCCTGTTGTGCGGGTGGGCAGGCGTCCCCGACATGTGGAATATGGAGCACAACATGGCAGCAGAGCAGACATCAGGGTTGAGTTGTTGGCCGAGGCGAGCCATGCACTATGTGTTGATTGAACCTGAGACGCGGGAACTCAACGGCTAGCGAGCGTAAAGGCAGGCATGCAGCGTGAGGCACACGCCCCCCAACAAGCGAAGCACTACGTAAGTGCTCGTTGCTAGCTTTAGTCGGCGTCGTCTGCGAAGAGAAGGCAGCAGGAAACCCAGAGAAGATCAGCTCTACACGCCTGAAATCATGTTTAGCCGTCTTTGAGATGTGATTCGCCGCCGCGCAAAATTACTCCGCGCGGAACAGCTCAAAACAAAGTCTCCTGCTGTAGTGATGAGATGCAGATCCCCATGCTACAAGCTCTGGCGTACACTTTACCGTCACTAGGCCGCTGTATTCCAGGTAGCTCGCCTTCCGTTGTCTAGGTCCTTCTCAGGTATGTGTTGGATAGAAGAGATGTGGTGTGTGTGTGTTGTGTGCGCGTGTGCGAGGTGCGCAAGTGCGAGGAAGAGCTCTGGAGGGGGGTCCGCATGTGCAGAAAAACGCGGCGAGAATAATACCGTTTGGCCGTGGCCTGGAGGCAAGTGTCCGATTCCACGGCGCGACATCGCGACATTGCGACATCGGACGTCGGCTGTCGCAAGTGTTTGACAGAAAGCGAAAGTGACCTTGGACGGCCGTTTGCTGCCGGTGTCCTCTTCCTTCTAATACATGTCTTAATTTAGGTAGGCAACGGGTATCACGGAGGCGTGTGGTTGCAGCAGCTCTTGACGTTTGGTTCGCCAGAATAGAGGAGGGGCGATAACACCGCCTACAGACGCCATGGCGAAGCATCAACAGGCCGCGGCGGCCGAGCTGTTGACCGTTGCTCTCACGAGTTCGGGGCTGGAGAGTGTGCTCTCGCAGCTGACCGACAGGTGAGATCAACGATGGAACGATGTTAAGCAGCAAAAAGTGTTGTTGTGCTTCATTATGGTGAGACATCTCCGGAGCAACACACACAGCAGCAAAACCTATGCTGCTCAAGCCAAAGAGGTTACAGTTCAGCTTTGATAAATCATATGCATATGCATACTAAAAACACACACAGAAAGACTACCCATTCGAGATATACCCACAGTCGAACGGGATGTGGTTGAGTCTTTTCAGTGAGTGGAGGGAAACCGGCTGGGTACTGGACTTATTTCGAGTCTTTTAAGTCTATACACTGATGATTTATACCAGTGATGTCAGCTGGTGCCAAGTACAAAAACATCTGTATAGGTAACTTACATCTTACAATACATCCCCTGTAGTTCTCTACTGGGTCAACGACAAAATATCGGGGAGATATATATTCTGATAAATCATATGCATACATCGACCGCTGTAGGGGAAAGAAGTCGGGTCGTATGCTGCTCGGCCCCGTACCCGACACGATCTCGATGAAGCTTGGAAACGACTTGTTTACCCCCTAGACTAAATGAAAAAAATTGCTTTCAGCTGTTGTACGGTTTTCAGCATGCCGTGTGCCAAGCACAGCAACAACCTACATCCCCAAGGTCGATCACCGACACTTCCACCGTCACCAACCGACCTCGAACACCACCACCACCGCGGCATATCCCCTACGACAACCAGTAACAAACCACATCGAAGCCAACGAACACACCACCCACATCCGCACAGCGCGTGCCCAGTTACGGATCTTGGCGTGCCCAGGCGTATGTCGCTGCTCCATGATATCCTCTACCGATTGGGCTTTGAACATTAACATTTTGTAAGGCAGGGAACTTGGTCGAGCACGCACCGTGTCGCCTGTTTCGTCTTGAATGTAGAGGTATGGGATTTTGTCTTGGTTGTTAGAGAATACCATACCATGTGTGGAGGTAAATTGCGTGACATGTACTATGCTGGTAAGGACAAGTCCCAACCGCTGCTCTGCGCGACAACTACAGTATGTAGAGGATTATTCCCTGCGGAGTATTTCCCAAATGGTCGTATGCATCTCGTGCGTGATCGCTGGGTGCTCGTAGCACAATTTCGAGGTGTCCTGCCGCGCCTCAAAGGCCAGACCGAAGACGCAACCATTTGATGAAAGAGTGGTGGGTACAGACGCAATCCCCGAAACTGCTGGTCGTTTAAGGCAGATTACCAGGCTCCTCACCTCGCCCTTACCACGTGATTGCTCCTTAGGGTTAGTCTTGTTTATCTAGAGGCAAGACGAATAGATAGGCTTGTTTGGTTCCTCCCGCTGGCCGCATTTGGTGCTTGAATCGACGTTGACCACAAGCATGGAGATGAAGAGGGAAGTAGAATTCAAAAGCGGACTCGGTACCACGGAGTCAATCCAGGGAGAGGGGGTCTGTTATTTTGCATCGACCGCGCCAACCGGCTGACCAATCAAAATTTATGGTTTTAGTGCGGAATAGAAAGCGCCAGCGCACTCTCTAGCATCCAACTTCCCAGGGGGGGCACGGAGGAGGTTGTGGTGACAGGGCCCAGCCTCTTCATTCGAAGAATAAGAAGGTACACCACCATGTAGCATTCCTGCTACGTTGTCTTCTCCTGTAATACTATCAGTACCCTTCAAGTGGGTTTCTCTGTGTGTGTGTGTTCGTCCCATTTATTGGCGCTGGTTTACTGGCGGCCTTTCGTCGTATTTACCTGACGTATCAGTCGGGGTGACACAAGAGGAAGGTCACACAGGAGATTTTTTTTTGTTTAGTTGCCCCACCTTTCCCCCTGCGGTGCTTGCCTTGGTTTTCATCGCGAGAAGGGTTCAGCCATCTCTTTCCCTCGTCGACCTCTGTGTGTGTGTAAACCACGACGAGTAGATGCAAGGCTCGGTCTACAGTAATGAGCTCCAGCCATGACTGCAGCATCAATGGTGGCATCTTATCCTACTAGGAGGATATTATCATTATTGAGTGTGGGGGAGAATGTTCTGGGTGTGGCAACGTGTAGTCCGAAGGGAGCGAAGTCTTGTCTTCTAACAATATTGTAGAGGTGACATCCTTAGAGGTGGACATTCTTCTCGAGCTTGACCGCTTTCCTCACCGGGCGAAGTAGGCGGGGGGGGATCAAAGCTGGCTGCTAGTTTGATCCACCTGCACACCCTGGCTGCTGCATGTCCGTATATCTCGGCGGCTGTGGTCCATGATGTCGTCTCTACTACTCAAAACAGCCCCCGGGCCCGATCTCCAATCCTTGACGTATACTGTTTCTCGACCTGTTGGTGGTGAAACAACGCGACACGCAGGGTAAACGACCTGGAGAGCGTCAACAAGGCACAGAAGCATCGGTTGGAGACGTTGGCACACCAGACTCCGGAGGTGGACATCTCAGACAGTGAGAAGCCCTACGCGTTTACACAAAGCACTGCTGTGCAGCTGCTTACATCCAACAACATGTCCCGCTCGTTTGGTGGCTCCATGCGAAACGTTGTTTGCGTTGCAACACATCAATGAGGGTATTTAGTGACCTCCAACAGCATGTCCCGTTCGTTTGGTGGCTCCACGCGAGAATTTGTTTCCGTTGCAACACATCAATGAGGGTATTTGGGGAGGCAGGACTTGCCCGGACATGCATACGTCTGTGGCGTTTTGGTGCTCAACGCCGTCTCCCTGCGGTGAAAAAAAAACTCCAGTCCCCTGCGGGCACTGTCATAACAGCTGCATGTGGGAACGAGCTCCTTGTTCCAGGGGGGTGGCGGAGAAGAGGATCGTGTACGACTGCAGCATGGGCTGCAAGAGGGAACCTTCCCGTGAAGTCAAGTTTCCAACCCCCGAACCCACCCAAAGACCTTGTTTGTTACGGCCCAATTGAAATATGGTCGGAGTTGTTGTCGTACCAGATCGAATGAGGAGCATGACTGTAGTGCTGAAAGAGTGATACATTGTTATCCCGGGTGTTGTCGTGAACCGTTTCGCCCGCCCACTGACGCCCGGGTGACCTCGTGCTGCATGTGCCTGGTTATGCAGAGCGCTTGCTGGTGTTTTCCTCCCTCCCACGTGGGTGCTTTATTCTGTTGTTTCGTGCTGCTCCTCGTTGCCTTTCATTTTCGTTTTTCAGAGCACCTGTGCGAAACGAGCGCTCTCCAGAACTTGGCCGGGAAGAGTCCGGAACAGCAGCTCGTAGCGATGTCTGACGCGATCGTGAGCATCGGCCAGAGCGTAAACCAGTTCTACAAGGACGTGAAATATCGGTGCGTGCCCGAGCCAAAACACCTCACATGTTAAGATAGTCTTCCGCTGCCCATGGCGTACGTGTAGTTCCAAGTCCTGTGCACGGTAGCTCGTCTACACGGATGGCACCGCCCCCGAAACTTTCACACGTCCAAAAGCCACCCGAGCTGTGTGATGAAAGCCCCCATGACGCCACATGGATGGAGTTTTGCGGTAGATGTCTACTTGCATTGTTTTCGGTGTTCACGATTCCTCCGTATCATATTTCATGTGCACCTTGTCATCTTCGACGAGCTGCAGAAGTTTTATTCAGTCATGTTTCCTGGGCGTTGGATATTCCGTAACACACGCTGTATCTCGCCATGTGTCTCGCCCCAGATAGCTCATGTACCCAGACTTTGAACCAATAGGGTTGTACGTTTTTGTTGCACGGGACGTCGCATGGGCGGTCACATGTGGAGCCAAATGTTGCTTGTGTCTGTCGGTGTTCAACGATGGATGGGAGGGGATGTTGTCTTTTCCCCATGGCGTGCCGTGGCGGTTCCAGAGGAAATCACATCTGTATCTATCTATCTATATATATCCTTCTGTCTCTCACTCTGTCTCTCGTCTTGGGCCAAGCAGAGCGAAATACCCCCAACACAAAATTCAGTCGGCTCAAACCCCGATTTCGTGCCCCTGTGTTGTACTTTTCTATCCCCGCAGAGAGGCCGTGCAGCAAGCGACCGACGCTGCGCAAGACGAGGTGCGAGTATTGCTGCTGCTGTTGTCGACCTTGTTGTCATCGTTCTTCCTGCTGCTGCTGCTTTCACCGCCGCCGTTGTCGGCAAAGGTGGTGTTCGTAATGGTTGGTAGCGTCGGGGTGGTAGTGGTCGGTAACGGTTTTCGCTATACTGACGTTGGACTGCGCCATTTGGGGTACCTCATAGCGCGTGTACGTAGCAATGTCGGCTTGACCGTACTTGAGCAGCAATGGCTCCTGTTGTACCAGGCTTATCTGCATGTTCAGGGATCGAAAGGACTGCCGAACTTACGCGCAATATATCCGTTGATGCGAACGATGAACACAATCTTTGATTCTTTTTTCAGGTTGCTTGAAACACGCACCAGTACAAAGCTCGGTACAGTAGTAGACACCTCTGATATACTTGCACACGATGCGACGAACTTTGATGCCCGTGTCTTGAACCACAGCTGATGCAAATGGAGCTGGACCGGCTGAATGGAGAGGTTGACATAAAGTTCACCCGCAAAGACGCTCAGGACATGCGACGGGTGCGAAGTGTACCGTTTTCGGTTTTTTGTTTTTTCATCCGCTTCCTTTCGTACACACGCATCGATGTACGTGTGCACCTTTCTGGGCGACAGGACTCATTGAGAGAACGCATCTGTCGGCTGTTTTTAAGTGGTAGTCGTGCCTGTCTCCCTCACCCTACAATAGTCCCAACCGGAGAACGAAGGCGAATACAAACGTCGCCCACGACCGAATTCAGTCTCATTGTTATTTAATTTCACCACCCTTCCACGAGGGATTTCTGCTGGCTGCAAACGATGAGGCAGCAATCGTCAAGCAGACTTCGTGTCCAACATTAGAAGCAATTCTGGCACTCCAAAACCTGACACGCTGCTGGGATATTGACCGACGAGCCCGAAATCGACAAGCGATTCCATTTCGCTGCTTTTGGTTATGTTGGCCGTTTTTGGTACCGGAGGCAAGCACTAACATGGACGTTGGTTTGTTCAGATGATCGCCAAGGAGATGCGAGCTATGCGGGAGGAGATGGCGCAGGAATTTGCCGGAAAGCTAGGCACGGTTTACGACGAGGTGACACACTTGATGTTTACTTCGGTTTTGTTTCCAGCGACGTGTTTTTTTGCTTTTATTTTGTGCAAAATGACTACCACGTTACTCACGTACTACGTCCACTAAATGTTGCTGGACACCATGTCGACGGCGATATTGATGCGTTTGAAGTCCCGCTTTGTCACTCCGTATTCCGTTTTCTAGGGTTTTGTCACGAAACTGGTATACTGATTTGGTTGAAAATGAGTGCACGCTTTGGTTCCAACCCTCGAGGTGGGTTGTTGTTGCTGTTGTCGTTGTCCTGATTAAAAAATGTTTTCCGGTCTCTACTCAGTACCTTCTAATACCCGTGCGGGTCCAACTGACTCGGGCGCCTTCCGTGGTTACAGGCCAACTAAAACAGAGGTGGTAGTTGATATATGGAATAAAAAAAGTCTCCTGGAAAAGTATGAGCTCACGTCAGGACGCCGCCAGGTGGTGCACACACGTTAGGAAGCATCCATCCCTTCTGCCCCTTGGCTTCTGCGGCTTTTTCTGTTTCTCTTGAAAAGCGCTCGACCCCCGGTACAATCGGCCACGTCCATGTAGGCCCCGACTCATGAAGGAAGGATTTTCGTGCGGCGTTTTATTGTGTTCCAACCTGAGTCGAACGAAAACCTGTTCTGCCGAACACGAAGAGACCTGTCTGCCTGGCTTTTTGGCAGTTTCACAACCACCACCACCACCACCACATCATCATCATACCACACCACAACATTACCAACCACCTCAAAACAACAACACCACCATCGAACCACAACACTAACACCACCACCAACAACAACACCAACAAAGAACAAGGTGATGTGTACTTTCGGCGACAACAAACCGTTTCTGTCGTTCCCGACGCAAACAACACCGCGACAGGTACTGGGTCAGCTGTCAAGAGTGACGGACCACGTGCGCGTCATCCAGGAAACCACCGGCGCCACCAACGAGCTGCTCAAGTACCGAATAGAAGAAGCCTTCACGGACATACAGCGGTGGGCTAGTGGGCGTAAGCTTAATAGATGGTGTCGTGTTTCGGGGGGCAACGCGAAAGGGCACTTGCAAAGAAAAAGGGCACATTTTTCGTTGTTCGGGGGGTTGGGGCGGGCCAATAAAAAACAACACGATGAAAATCAGGATGCTGCTGCTTCTGTTGTTGTTGTGCTGCTGCTGCTGCTGCTGCTGCTGCTGCTGCTGCTGGTCGTCGTCGTAGACGTGGTACGTCTGGTACCGATACTGATGGTGCTGCTTCGAATGGTGACGATGCTGTTGTCTCTGCTGTCACCGCTGCAAATTGCATTGGTAATGTAACGCTGCTTCTGCTACTGCCGCTTCCGCCTACTGTAGCGCCTCCGTGGACATGGACGCGAAGATCCGGAAGATCACGGACATGTTCGGCCTAAGCGCCAATCCCGACGATAATGGCACCCCTTCGTTCCCGGAGATGCTAAGAAATATTGGCGATCTCGAGAGACTGGCCTTGGGGTGTCGAGACGACATAGACGAGCAAACGGTAAGGGCGTTACGGTAGTACGGACTGCAGCTACTCTCCCACCTCCCACCCTCATGAAACAGCGCCTTCAGGGGGCGGAACGAAAGTTTTTGTTTTGGTGTGGTTGATGGAATCCTGACAACGATGGACGGTAGTCACAGTTCTGTTTTCATCACCGCCTTTGGACCACCAGCCCCCAAGGGGGAAAATAACACTATGGAAAAATGAACATGAGATGCAAACGTGATGATGGCGAAAGGAATACGATCAGAACAACTTCCACCGACGAC